AATTGACACTTTAATACAAATAAGATTTAATAATGTATTTTTATTTGAATACTATTTAAGGTTTAATCTGACATTAATGAGAAGGGAATGAGATTGCATTGATGAGACACACAAGTGATAAAAAATGGTTTTATAGGTCACTTAATAACAACACGGCAATTTATGCTGCAACAACATGCACAGATCAAAATTGAAATGTCAAACACATTGATTAAAATAGAGGTGTTTACTTTCGTTCTGTCTAGAGTGAAAAAGATAAGATATGAGTGAAAATATCAAAGGGTTTATGTGGAACTGCAATTGTACCGTCTTTGGTAAAGATACTTCCCTGACTGGATCGATACTGTAATCAGGACACAAACACACAGAACTGATTTACTTCTATGAACTGCAAATTATTGATCAAATTTTCTCTACTGGAGCTCAAGTGAGTGCGATATGAGTGACAAAATTACTTTCATGTGTACCTCAGTATGTAAAAAAAGTATGTCTGAAAACAGTAGTCCTACAACTAAATGATAATTTAGCCAGCTAATTAATTAATATAGACGCAACTAAAAAGTTAATTTTTTAAAATAAATTGTATTATAAATTTTATTTTTATCTATAATTTATTTTAAATATAAATTAAAGTGTCAAACCAAGTGAAGAACAGCACATCACAGATGCTGTCCAGAAACTTGTTTTGCAACCAGAACTTTCATGTAAAAGTTTTAAGTTTTAGTTCATCTTACCAGTTTGATGTATTGCCGTCTGAAAGTTCGTTCAGTCTCCTCCAATGCAGTTATATGTACCTCAGAAATTAACAATCCTAATTAATCACTCAGAAAATGTCACAGGTGCAGATATTGCTCTTTAAAACATAACCGGTTAGCCACAAAATAAAATCGAGACAACAAATTCATTCATCTTCAATATTTCAATCAATAAACATATGTCATACTATTACTAAATTTACTGAATGAATGAGTTTTACTCACATTTCAGCTGAACAAAACAGCAGGCCTTTTATACGTAAAAGGTCAACGCTCCTGCATTCGTCTTTACAACCTGGAAAGGTCAAAGCATTACTCAAAGATTTATCATAATGCAAATGAAACCTACACAGATAATCCATGGCAAAACAGATTATGACACAATGCAGGGCCGGTGGCACACAGATCGGTCACTCTCACTGGTTGCGTACAGGACGACTATCGCTGACAATATGGGCTACAAAACATTGGAAACATCTTGGAAACAGCAAACTTGAATTAGAAAGGCAGATGACAACACTTAACATCATTTAGCCGTTTGATTTGAAAGGTTAGACAAGCCAGTCCAACAATCTACGTCTGGATCAAAGCAGCTTAGGCCCAATCAAACATTTCCACTGCAGCTCTGCTCACCACGGTGGAGTATACACTAATCGTGATGACAGTGTTGATGATGATTATGATAATGATGCCATCAGCGACTACTAAGCTTCCTCAGTGGAATGGATTATAGAGGCATGCCAGTCATAATAAAAATGACTAGAAGAAATATTACGTAATTTCATTTACGTTTATTATTAATATTACAACAGAAGATTTTTTCTATCAGTGTGTTTATTACTATATACTATTCTAATGTCTGAATTACCTTTATCATTGTATCCAAAATGCTGTTAATTGATGTGCCATGAGCCACTGTGGCTGATGAATGGATCTCAGACACAACAGAGACACACCAGACACCTGTGTGAACTTCTACACACAGCAGCCCGAACGAAAGCAGCACTAATTTGTTTTGACAGATGTTTAATCGGCCATTTTACAAAAGACAAACACATAAACCATTATTTAAGCCCTCTTCTAGGGACACACATGGACTCCTGGCATGACATACATTGTAAAAAAAATTCCGTAAAAAATTTACGTTAAAAAAACGGCAGCTGTGGTTGCTGGAATTTTACCGTACAAAATACGGTAGCAACGTTTTAGGTTTTACGGTTTTAACTTATATTTGTCAATTTACGGTTATTCACATCTTTTTCACTTCCAAATCCGGTATACTACCGTAAAATTAATGTCCAATACATGTAATGTCCAATACAGTTTTTCACCGTATATAGTAGGGGAATTTACCGTAAACCATTTAACAGGTTTTTACTGTAGCATTTTTACAGTCTTTTACTGTTAAATTCACGGTCATTTTTTACAGTGTATATGTATCCTGCTGTGCGGCATGCAAAACTCTGTCTAAAATGATCTAAAGAAGTGGCCAAAACCCCTCTAAAACCAGCCTGCTCCCAGTATAATTATACATGTTGTTTTTGTAAACTCATATACTTGACCTTAAATAGACTACAATTATATAGCTAGATTTTAATTTAAAATCTTGGGGGAAAAAACTAGGAAAGAGAAAAACAATCACGAATGTTTCAGCAACCAGTAAAATTCACGGATTTTCACGCGCGCGAGCAAAAATTCCGTTAAAGTAACCATAGCAAAAGTACAAGCACTTCGTGTCAGAATGAGTATTGGACAAACTGTCGTTATTTTTTCCACTTTACTACAGATTCACAAAACTCAAACTTAAAACACAAAAACTTCTTTATGACAGTTGGCGTTCATGGATATCTGTGCTAGAAATTTTTAACAGTAAACCCAGATAGCACACGTACGTCTGCAAGATGTCTGTTAAAGATCGCTTCATCTGGAAAGCATCTGCTGTGTACAAACATCTGATAGACGTCTTTAAGATGTCAGTTTTACATGCATTCTAAATCATAAACATCTTAAAGACATCTACTAAACGTCTATTTGACATCTGATAGGAAACGTCCTATAGACGTATTGCAGATGAACAAACACTCTAAAAAAATACGTCTTGCAGATGTAAATGCAGATGTCAAATAAACGTCTCTGTGATGTACGTGTGCTATATAAATTCATAATTTGAATAAAAGTTTTATTTTTCATGCTGGGAGTGACCTCCGTATAACAATGTGGGGCTGAATTTGAAATTGCTGTAATTTACTAATAAATATAGCAACAAACAGGATGAAAACAATCTGATGAGGAATTTACCGTAAACCATTTAACAGGTTTTTACTGTAGCATTTTTACAGTCTTTTACTGTTAAATTCACGGTCATTTTTTACAGTGTATATGTATCCTGCTGTGCGGCATGCAAAACTCTGTCTAAAATGATCTAAAGAAGTGGCCAAAACCCCTCTAAAACCAGCCTGCTCCCAGTATAATTATACATGTTGTTTTTGTAAACTCATATACTTGACCTTAAATAGACTACAATTATATAGCTAGATTTTAATTTAAAATCTTGGGGGAAAAAACTAGGAAAGAGAAAAACAATCACGAATGTTTCAGCAACCAGTAAAATTCACGGATTTTCACGCGCGCGAGCAAAAATTCCGTTAAAGTAACCATAGCAAAAGTACAAGCACTTCGTGTCAGAATGAGTATTGGACAAACTGTCGTTATTTTTTCCACTTTACTACAGATTCACAAAACTCAAACTTAAAACACAAAAACTTCTTTATGACAGTTGGCGTTCATGGATATCTGTGCTAGAAATTTTTAACAGTAAACCCAGATAGCACACGTACGTCTGCAAGATGTCTGTTAAAGATCGCTTCATCTGGAAAGCATCTGCTGTGTACAAACATCTGATAGACGTCTTTAAGATGTCAGTTTTACATGCATTCTAAATCATAAACATCTTAAAGACATCTACTAAACGTCTATTTGACATCTGATAGGAAACGTCCTATAGACGTATTGCAGATGAACAAACACTCTAAAAAAATACGTCTTGCAGATGTAAATGCAGATGTCAAATAGACATCTCCATGATGTACGTGTGCTATCAAGGTTATAGCTATTTGCACAGTGGATAACAATTCATATAAGCGATTTAATATACCCTGATAGAACACGTAACAGAGACGTCTATTTGACATATGCAAGACGTATTTTTTAGTGTTTGCTCATCTGCAATACATCTATAGGACGTTTCCTATCAGACGTCAGATATACATTTAGAAAATGTCTTTAAGATGTTTATGATTTAGAACATATGTATAACTGACATCTTAAAGACGTCTATCAAATATCTGTACACAGCAGATGCTTTCCAGATGAAGCGATCTTTAACAGACATCTTGCAGACATACGTGTGCTATCTGGGTAACAGTAAACCTCCCTGAAAATCATTAGATATAGCACACATACGTCTGAAAGATGTCTGTTAATGATCGCTTCATCTGGAAAGCATCTGCTGTGTACAAAAATATGATACACGTCTTAAACGCATCTTCTAAACATCTATTTGACATCTGATAGGAAACGTCCTGTAGACGTATTGCAGATGAGCAAACACTCTAAAATATACATCTTGCAGATGTAAATGCAGACGTCAAATAGACATCTCCGTGATGTACGTGTGCTATCAAGGATAAAAAATAATATAAGCGATTTAATATAGCAGCGTACGTTCAAATACGCAAGATTTAAACCTGCATCCTTCATCAGCCAGACGTGGAAAATGTCACACCCACCGTCGGCAGGACGAGATTATCACTCCCGTGGATTGTTAGTCGAAACTAAAGGTTGACGCTGACACGTCTCTGGCTTTATCCAGCCGTATTCACTAACTATAACAAGTGATGTTATTATAAAGATATGCCTCAGGGTAATATAATGAAACGCCTCAGATATTAACAGCGCCCCAGTAACGCGACGCTAAGCCGCTTAAAGACTCTGGATGGAAATAGAAGCACTCGAAGATCCGCGCTGCGAACCTGACGGAAAACTTGCGCGTCGAAGAGCGAAGAATGAACAGCGATGATCTTAGAGCTCACTGTGAGCATCTTCCCCTTCTTTAAGGACAGAAAATAACAGGACGCAGCTCCAAAGCGGAACTTTTTAGGAGTTTTGAGAAACGCGCAAATCATGGCAAAGAAGAAACGGGGTTTATCAGTCAGTTTTATCAAGGGATTCCCAGATGACAGGTTGTTATAGAGGCAGACATGCCAGCCAACCTCACCGCCTCCAGCCACAGCACGAACTACAACTTCCCAGCGCTCATCTTCGGGATATTGTTGATCATTATCATCATCTGCGGGAACGTGCTGGTGTGTCTGAGCGTTTACACGGAGAAAGCGCTGAAAACCACAACCAACTACTTCATAGTCAGCTTGGCTGTTGCGGATTTGTTGTTGGCTGTTCTGGTCTTACCGCTGTTCGTGTATGCAGAGGTGAGTCGAGTCACTTCATTGCCTAGACATTTGACATTTAATATAATATTGTATTATAGCCTAATATGTACAATGTTTAAGGTGACCAGGAAACAAACAGGTACCAACTTTAAAACCCTGCTAAGGGTTGTACGGGGTACAACCTTCTTATTGGTACCACTGTAAGTTTTGACCACTTTCATGATGATTTTCGCAAGTCCATATTAAACCTAGTTTAAGTCAGCTATATGTAATAACGTGATATCATGCAATATTTACTCAATATTAAAAATGTAAATAGATTATTTAAATGTCATTTTGATTTATATATATATATATAATATTTACTGAATGTTAAAATATAATAATAATTTTGAGTTTGTGTGTGTGTGTGTGTGTATACTGTATATATATATAGGCCTATATATATGCAATATTTACTTAATATTAAAAATATTAATATACATTGTGTTTATCTATGTTCCGTTATTGTTAACACCTTTTTCTTGCTTAAAAACAATAAACAAACTTGGGGGGGTATTTATGTAATATCTAAATATTTAATTTTGAGTGTGTGTGTGTATGTATATGCAATATTTACTTATTAAAAATATTTAAATAAATTATATATAAATTATAATGTATTATATATATGTAATATAAAAACAATCTAATTATAAAAAAAATTGTGTTTGTGTATATATACACATACACTTAATATTTAAAAAAAATATTTACATTTTTAAAATCTATTTATTTAAATATTTATTTTTTTAGTGGTTGTGTGTATGTACACACACAAACACTTAATTGAAAAAAATTAAATATTAAAATTAAATACATTTTGAGTGATTTTTTTTTAGAATGTGAACATAAAAATGTGTTTAAAACATTTTTTTTGTTTCAACAATAACTGAAGCTTGCCATTAACTATGGTTACCATGGTAACAGTAATCTATAATCTTTCATCTATTTACTTGATTGCAATTAAATTCTTAACCAATCTGATAAACAACTATATGGCACTATATGCAAAACAAACTTGTCGTCGTCAATATTCAGTTGTTACCCTTGCATGAAAAACTTTGCAGACATGCATTCATTCGGCCCCCTCCTGCTGAGACTGTCTGTCTCTGCCAGAGCCGGATGTCATAAACACACATCGCACAATACGCATTGTCTGCCATCCCGAGATGTGGGTGCGAGGTCCGAGACCAAAGAGGCCTCCAAAAAACTAGCAGTCGGACATTCCATTCAGGCATGGTGGTTACCGTGTCCCCTAGACTGGATACTGAGGGCCTCAGACAGCGGGGACAAGGTCACCGGGAGCAAAGCAAACGGCTCATGGCGGTCTCGCTGGCTCTTCAGGTCAAGGACACGGAGAAAATATGCTCCAGTGAGTCAGCTGTAGCTTAATTACAATTTTACATGAGCCCCCTCACCATAATCTCATGGCTTCCACTTGTAGGGTGAATGTGGCTCGTTGGCATGGGAGAGAGGCCATTACCAAAAACCAATTAAGAATCTGTCCTCTTCTCCAGGCCAATAATTAAAATGCCATTAAATCCTCCTCTCTGCTGTTTTATCTCTTTTTTAGACCACGGGATGCATATCAGCTACAAAATTACCATCAGCCCTGGAGCATGTGGTGTGTGTGTGTATGTGTGTGTGTGTGTGTGTTTGGCTTGATTGCTGTGACAACACCAAGCTGATAATAGGGAAATTAAGGTTTCACAGTCGCTCCGCTGTGGCTCTAAGAACACGAAGTTAGGGGAAGGTGAAAGAGGTCAGAGAGCCATGGGAATGGAGTGATTGGAAAAGACGGTGAGGATAGACAGAGGCAAGGATGTTAGAAGCAACAGATGGGTGAAGAGTAAAAGACGGTGATGATTTTCTCTCTTCTCAGTTCCAGGATGGGGTTTGGTCCCTCAATATGACCCTATGTGATGGACTGATGACCATGGATGTGATGCTCTGCACCGCCTCTATATTTAACCTCTGCGCCATCAGCATAGACAGGTGGGTCTGACTTGTGGGACACAAGATTATTACCAAAAAAGTAAAATAATAATGATAAATTAATGAATTAAAAAAAAATAAAAGTATTAACTTATTTCAGTTTTTTAATCTAACTTGAAGTACTAAAATACCTAAAACTAGTATAAAGATTAATAAGAACAGGCACATTTAAATAATAATAATAACAATGTATTTATAATTAAATAACAAAATTATGAAAACTTCAACTAAAATTAAAATTAAAACAAAATATGAAAATAAAAAACAATTAAAAATATTAATAAAAAATAATAATAATATATCAGTGATGCTAAAATAAAACTGGCGGGACAAAAACAACAATTTTATTTAGGCGCTCATGCATTATCAGTTTTGAAAGTTTTGTCATGGACTGTTTTCCACATTTTTTAATCAAAGTCATCATCAAAAGTATGAAATAACACAAATTAAATTGAAAAAAAAAATAATATATTTTTTTTTAAAGGTATATTTTAGCTATATCAAACAAAGATTCAGTTTGGACTAAATCTGGACAATTTAAAAATGAATTACCATATGTATGTAAATGTGATAATATGAGATAATATTATATTTTTTGTTAATATTTAGAATTTTTTTTACATTGTTATGTTATTTCTTTTTCCATTTTCCATTCTCCATTTTCATTTTAGTTAGATTTTAATAATTTCGTTTAGCAGTTTAGTGTTTTTGCCATTATTATTCTTATTATTTTAAAATGTGAGTTTTTATCCATTATTACTGTTATTATTATTATTTTAAAATGTGAGTTTTTATTCATTTCTATTTCAGTTTTAGTTTGAGTTATTTTAGTATATCACAAGTTAAACTAAATGAAAATGAAAAATGCTTCTAAAACTGTATCTTTTTATATTTTATTTTATTTAACGTTTATTTATTTCAAGTAATGAATACATTTTTTTGTATAGTTTTAGTTATCTATAATAACCCTGTTCCCAACCTTATGCAAATTAGATTTCATGCCAATGTACAGTAGTTTCTACTACTAAATAAGCTTCTACTACTTCTAATAAAAATGTATTTATTTCCAGTCATTATCAAAGAAAAAACTCACCATGGTAACCCAGAAATCACTTTATTTTAGGGACAGAGTTGTAACAATGCTGTGTGAAAGACATAAAATGTGTAAAACTGGCCTTTAAAGTCTGATTCTTGAACTCATGGGAATTGGGGTAAGGATTGATGAACTTAAATTCATGCAGTACACTGATTTTACACAGCTAGTTTTATATTTTGGAAGCTGTAAGGGTCACAGCAGGTTACCTTCCTACTTGTGGGTCTGTTTGAAGGCACGATGAAATAGCATTTATAATAAAAGTGGCTTCCTGCTATGATTAAAAGAAGAGAGAGACGGGCAGAGATAGAGACTGAGCAGATGTGTTCAGAATAACTAAATGGCATTAAGTTGCAGGCATTACCTCGTAATGACACCTGATTCCTCATTTAGACCCTCCTCTGCTGTCCCGCCGTCGCTGGCCTGGCGATTCGAGTCAACCGCAGGGTCATTAAGTGCCCTACTGCCATTCTGTGTGGCTCAGCAGAAGGTGCTTTGAGAGATTAATGAGATACACACTCAGGACGGCACTCTGTAGAGATACAACAGCGTGACCTCGTTATGCAAGGAAAGACTGCAAACACATCGTTTGGCAGAAGTCGCCTCACAATCAGCATGAAACAGCAATGTGTGGAGAACAGATACACGGACCAGCGCTGTGTGTAACAGGAGTTATTTAAAACACGAGTTGTGAGATGCTGGGATGCCTCAGGGTTCACGCTCCTGTTTACAAACATACTCAGCCAGTAATAAAGACACATGGCTGTTTCTATCACTGATATGATGATGATAGTCAGCTTTGAGAACCAGTTAAATTCATAGAGAACGCAGCTTAACTCAGATTTATTTATAAAGCCCTTTCAAAAGCAGAAAAATGTACCCAAGTGCTGCACATAGATAACATAAAACTCTAAAAATCATTACAAACAAAAAAAGCAACATATCACAACAACAAATCATCCAGTTATTAAATAAAATTATATGCATGAATCTCACATATATAGGTGTATCGCACAAATCATACTCAACATTTACACCCCTCAAAAAATATAAAAAGGGTTAGTAATTTTTTTTTTTTATTTATTTATTTTTTTCTAAGTGGTTCTCAGATATTTTTTTACAATAAGCTTACATTTTTGGGCTTTTTTTCTAAGATAAGGAATTTTGGGAAAAATATGACAAAAAATGTCTTAAAAAATGTAATGTCTAAATCTAAAAAAATATATACAGTATATACATATATATTTCTCAACGTAGATTTTGGGTTGAAATATGACCTGGACATTTCACTGGTTTTGTGAGATCCACCTTTATGCTTTATCTTAAACTGGAATCACATTATTAAACACATACATGTTGGATATGAGTGATATTATCTGATTAGCAGTTGAGGGTCCAGGGCAATACTAGGTCAACACATAATTGGGTCAGCTCAGTCAGCGAATAAGAGATTCGAGCAGTGGCTTGGCTAGCATATAATGATAAAAGCAATGTGTTCATCAGGGTCAAGAAAATTTTGTTGTTGATTTAATAGCTTTGCATGGACTGTCTTGTAATACCTCATATGGCTGGCTCCAGGTTCATCGCAGTCTCCATCCCTCTTAATTACAACCGCAAACACGTGGATCAGCGACAGATTGTCCTGCTTTCTGCCACATGGATCCTGGCCTTGGCCGTGGCCTCCCCCGTGATGTTCGGAATCAACAACGTCCCCAACCGGGACCACAGCGAATGCAAGCTGGAGGACAACAACTACGTGGTGTATTCCTCCGTCTGTTCGTTTTTCGTGCCGTGCCCCATCATGCTTTTGCTGTACTGCGGGATGTTCCGGGGCCTGAGGAACTGGGAGGAGGCGCGGAAGGCCAAACTGAGGAGCAACATGCAGGCCTGCAGAAAGCTTCAGGAGGCCGCCGCGTCCCTGCAGCCGCTGTCTGGCCTGCCGCCCCCTCTGCCACCTGTGATCATGAAAGATCTGACTGACATTACATTAGAGGAGCTGGAGCAGGACCCTGACAGCCCGGATCCCGTGTCCATGCTCGCCTACCCTGGTGGGAGCTACCATGAACATCGAAACCAGAACCAGCAAAGGAAGAGGGCGAAAATTAATGGGAGGGAGAGGAAAGCAATGAGGGTGCTTCCTGTTGTAGTAGGTAAGAAGACATGAAATACATCATGTCCTGTTTATGACCCCATATTAATTGAGAGACTACATAAATGAATTTATTAAGGTAGAAATATTCTGTTACACCTTAGGGCTATTTAATATATGACAAAAAAATGGTTAAAGAATATGAAGAACGAAATGGAAGTCAGTTACAGCACCTAAAATATTCACTTTCCCTTATAAATCTTCACCCAAAATTTTTATGTTGACAAAGTTCAGGGGCATGTTTTCCACCAACTGCTAAAATTTCGGTCTCACTGTTGTTGTGTTTTCTGCTAGTGATTAGGATTACAAAAAAAAGTAATTAATAAACTCCCTAAACATTAATGAAATTATTGATAATGATTAATTAATGATACTGAAATAGCTGAAAATTAATTCATTATGGACTGTTTTTTTTTTAATGGCCTTCAATTTGCAGATTTTTTGAAGGAGAAATTAACATGACATGTTTTTCAGTACATTTAAAGGAAACCTATTGAAAAAAAAAAGATGATTGTATTTAACTAACTGGTGAATTGTTTATTTTTAAAATAGCCGCTTAATAGGGCCCAACCAACATTCTTCCCATACAAAGACATTTTATTTGAAAATGTGAAAAGCTACTTTTAATTTATAATGTAATTTTTATATTTAAAAAAAAAAAAAAAGTAGAAAAAATTTGTATTTTCTAGCCTTCAATTTGCAGATTGTTTGCAGGAGACGATTAACATGCTTTTTCAATAAAAAAATCAAATTACACATATGATTAATTGATGGGTCATTTATTATTAAAGTACACATTTAACAGCAACATTCTGACCCTATAAGACATTTTATTTTGAAAATGTGAAGTTACTTGAAATTTATAGCATAGCATTTATATTTTATACAAAAAATGTTTTGTTGTTGTTGCTTATTTTATGTTTTTGTAGCTTTAAACTTGCTGTTTGTTTGAAGGAGACAATTAACATGGCATGCTTAAACATTTTTGTTGATTAATAAAAAATAAAAAAGACAGATAATTTATTATTAAAGTAGCAAAGAAATGTTTTTGCCTAAAAGTAACATTTATTAAGGTAAGGGAAACAAATTTATTTTCTAGTAGCTTTGATTCAACCATAAAATGCACCAGAACAAAACTGCAGATGCATATTTACACCGCTGCTCTCTCTTATCTCCATCCGAAGTGTTGTGAGTTGAAAAAAAAAAAATAGAACTGGGCTTGGAGGAGTGATTACAAACACTTTTTCTACATGTGCTGAACTGAGGAACTCCTCCGAGCCTCATTGGCTAATCATTCCTCACCAATCCTCCAATCCGATTATGATGTAAGCCTCGCTTTAGTCCAGCAGGCAGAGTGGGGGCAGCCGTCACATTGAGACATGCACTTATCCTCTTCACGGGTTCCTGGGAGATGTGCCACCGATGTGCTCTGTACAGTACTTGTCAATCATTTCAGCCTGAGTACAGATAAGAGAGAGAGAGAGGGGGGGGGACAGATAAAGGACAGGATTTTCCACATTGACAGTCAAGTTCAAAAGCTCAATCTCAAAAAAAAAAAAAAAAGTTTTATATAAAACATGACATTTAATTGTTTGCAAAATAAAAAAGCATAAAGGTCGAAGTACATTGGACCCCACTGACTCCATAAACTTCTACACTCTTAAGGTTCTTTATTGGCATCTATGGTTCCGTAAAGAACCGTTAACATCCATTCTCTATTTAAAAAACGGTTCTAAAAGGGTTTTTTCGGTTTCGGTTTTTGGTTCCCTAAAGAACCTTTCAGTCAGCAGTTCTTAAAAGAACCATTTATTTCTTAATGTGAAGAACATTTTAATAATCCGAACAACCTTTTTCCACTATAAAGAGCCTTTTGTGCAATGAAAAGGTTCAATGCAATGAAGGTTCTTCATGGAACCATAAATGGCAGTAAAAAAAAATTATTTTTAAGAGTGTTCCACAAAAGGTTCTTTATAGTGCAAAAAGGTTCTTTAGAGTTTTAAAATGTTCTTCACATTAAGAAAGGTTTTTGCAGCCTTTTGCATGCTGTAGAAGAACCATTTTTGGTTCTCCAAAGAACCTTTCAGTGAACAGTTCTTAAAAAAAACATTTTTTTCTTAGTCTAAAGAGCATTTCAATAATCTGAAGAACCTTTTCCACAGTAAATAACCTTTTGTGGAATGGAAAGTTTCCAGGGATGTTAAAGGTTCTCTGTGGAATTATTGATGCCAATAATTAACTTTATTTTTTAGAGTGTAGAGAAAAACAAAAATGGTTATTCTATGGAATGGCTTCGAAAAAAAAACTTTTGGAATTTTTAAGAGTGCAGAGATGCCCTTTCCGGTGACTTTCAGCCATCCTACCTGTTCTCTCCTTCCTCTCACTTCTGATGGATGACAGATCTGTGGAACCTAGCAGGAGTGGGACAGATAGATTGCTGGGTCATATTTCTGACGAGAGCAACCCTTCATACTGCTATGCTTCTGTTTGGAAGCTTTCGGAGTAGAAGTGAATAAAATAACTTATATCTGTGATCTGAGATGATGCTTACTCAGCTGAGAAATTTGAGTTACGTCTGCCTCCAAAAAGCGATTTAAAAACCTGTAAAACGAAGAGAACAGGGTTAGATGTTCACTGTACTGTAGCACAAATGTGATCCTGTAGATTCCTCCAAAACAACAGACACTATCGTTCTGTTTATTATACGCGAACCCTGCAGTTATTTGTCTGCTGCTTTAAATGCTATAAAGTTGTGTGGATTGTGATTGGTTATCAATGTTTTTATCGCTCATCAGCAGGAAAAAAAAAGTTCTAAAAGTGATTCCAATAATATTGTTTCTCTGTGTTCAGTGTTGCCAAGTCTGTGGTTTTCCTGCAAAATTGGGTTTTATCTATACTGTTGCCGTAGGTTGTTTTTTAGTCCACAGGTTAAAGAGATCTTCCCAGAACATGGAAAACTGTGGAATAAAAGGTGATTGGGCTAGTTTTCAATAGCAATTGGGATAGTTTTGTTTCGCAGACCTGGCAACCCTGTCTGTGTCGTTATCATTATAGCTGTAGTCACAGAATTAGAATTATTGTTATCATTATAGTTATCGTCCTTGGTGTGACCATGATTTTTTTTTTGTTAATGGTAACAAATTTGTTTACACAAAGAACAATAACTATGAAGAAAACGATATCTATATGAGTATCCACACCAACAGACGACAATGTTGTATTAAGTGTGCTGCAGTTTAGTCGTCTGTCACTTTAAATGCTCGTGGTCTATAAAGTCTGGTGCACTTAAGAGCATTTTACTGAAGAACAGTTTGTGTAAATAACGTGTGCATTGAAAAAATGTTGCCCTGTCATCTCCAGGTGCCTTCCTGTTCTGCTGGACTCCATTCTTCGTAGTGCACACCATGAGGGCTCTCTGCGAAGACTGCTACATCCCCAGCAGCGTCACTAGCATCGTGACCTGGTTAGGCTACGTCAACAGTGCCCTCAACCCCGTCATCTACACAGTCTTCAACACAGAGTTCAGGAAGTTCTTCCGGAAGTTCCTGCCGACTCTGCCCAACTGCTGCTAGCCGGAACACACCCTCTGCTAACAGTTTACGAACAAAACATACCCAAAAGTATAAATAAACCAGACAAATAATGCTTACATGTAAATACAGCATGTTGTATGAAACAAAAATGAAAGTAAGGTTATAATGTACTAAGATGTTTGCTGCCATTATGTTTTTACTTCATGGTTTAATTTCGTATGTTTACATTTTGAGAGCTGACATCAAACGGCCTCATTCATGAAAAGCAAGCAGAACGAATTTGCATAAAACGTTCGTAATATCATTCTTTTGTAAACTGTCATTTCATGAAATTCATACAGAACTAATTTGTGTAAATTAATCTTAAAATCATGTTTACACAGGCAGAATGAATTTTCGATTCAATTAATTTTTTCTGTTAATTGTTCGTAAAACATTTTTACATAAGTTATGGTGTTCTTAAAGGGGTCATATGATGTTGCTAAAAAGAACATTATTTTGTGTATTTGGTGTAATGAAATGTGTTTATGCGGTTTAAGGTTCAAAAAAATTGAAATCGCATCATATGACCCCTTTAATACATTAACATAATTTCCATGTAAATAGTTCATAAAACTAGTGCTACATAAATTGTTACAATCATATAACACATGCATGTAATTCAAATGCATGTACTGTAAATTGTTTGTAAAAATCATTCTTACGTGGACTAGTAAGAACTTGTTTTTGAGGTGTTGTTATTGAATCAAAAATGGCTTTACGAACAATTTAAACATTTCATTCTGTTCGTGTTTCGTAAACGAGGCACAGTTTATGCTTTGAAGCTTCTATGACAGGTATGTCTGTGGAACGGTCTGCCATCTACGATGACCTCTCTTTGCCATTACTGTTCTCATGTGATACGCGAAGGAGCTCGTCCAGCAGCTCATAAGCCGAGTCAAAGGCGCTCCTTTTGTATCTGATTGCACTGACTTTCATCTGAGAATGAAATGTTTTCCACAGACAAGAACTACTTTGTGCTGATGTCTAAAAGAACAGATAAAGACATTTAGGTCGTAGTATCAACGCCTTGTTTTAGTGAGCCCAAATATCTGTTAATATTATGTATTCACATAGCAAAAAACTTATTGGATGAAATGCCCAGAACTAAGAAGACTGTGACTGGGAGTTTTACTAAAGGAGAATGTCGAAAAAAAGAACAAAATAACATCGCAAAGGTTATTCTGATGCTGACAGTTTTAGAAACAGTAACTGAAGCGAATCGGCCAACCGCATCAAAGAATCTCAAATGTGAAGATCAAAACTGAATCAATGCAATCAAAAGTGGTGAATCTGCAAACAAAAACCGTTTCAGGACATTTTTGTGTGATTCTGAAGAACTTTACTTGTTTGAACGCTGAGGCAAATGTAGGTTAGATGTTCATTGGTGATAGTTTTCATGCCTTTCGTGCACAGTGTTCATTAAAAGCTGAAAGTGGAAGTGAGTGGTTTGATTTAAGTGAACATGGTGTTAGAATGTTAAAGCAATATTTAGAATTTGTTTACTGTGGCTTTTCTTTGTATTTAAGTTATTGATTTCACTGCTGAGCCCACATTGTCAATGGAATGCTTGCTGCTTTTGATAAATTAAAAAATTATTTTTAAAATACAACTGAGAGTTGATCATAGAATAGATCAACTGGAATAGATCAGCTTGAGGGGCCATCAAAATACTGTATTACAATAAATACTGAGGGCACTGTGGAATTCTAAAAGGATTAGTTCACTCAAAAATTACGAGATTACAAAATTTGTTTCTCCATCTGAACAGATTTGGAGAATTCAGCATTACATCATTTGCTCACCAGTGGATCCTCTGCAGTGAATGGGTGCCGTCAGAGCGACAGTTGAAACAGCTGATAAAAACATCACAATAATCCACATGACTCCAGTTCATCAGTTAATGTCTTGTGAAATGAAAAGCTCCATGCAGAAAAGTGAATGGTGAAACAAATTTATTTTCATCTCACATCAAAACCCACCAGTATATTTCTCTCCTGATTCAGAAAGTTTTCATCTTTATAAAGCAATATTATTAATATTATAAGTTAAGAATGTCTTGATGTAAACACACAGATTTTTGCTTCAAGTTTTTAATTGATGGACTGGAGTCGTGTGGGTTACTTGTGGATTATTGTGATGTTTTTATCAGCTGTTTTGACTC